AGCTCTGCAGTGAGCAGCCTATACACCTGTATTGTGTCTTTTGTTGAGCTACACAGCAGGGAGATAGCTCTTCAGTTTGAGGAAAACCCAAACCAAAGAAAGTCAAGACGCCAACTCCCATCACAAAGAACAACGGGATGTGTGGTTCCTCTTCCTCTCTCTGTGGATCTGGCCCTAAGTGACACCAAGTGAGACAGCAGTAATGGTGATGACAGTCATCAGTGGTAAGGTGGGGCACAGCTGCTATTTACCACTGTTCCAGGGCGCCTGGGTAGAGAGGGGCAGAATCCACTGCCGGCCACAATCATATCCCTAGCATGGCTGCAAAAACGGATGCCTCTCTACTGCACATAATGAATGGCAATGATCTGTCCTGTGGCTCAGGTGGGGCATTGAAGCAGCCATTAAATATCTATTTCAGTATCAGAACACTGACCATGTCCCTGGCTACAGAGGCTGTAGTTCCCTAATCTCCAGCATTCCTCTCAACAGCCATGAGCTCCCAATTGTACTGCCAGCGTATCAGTCTGCTGTAGCTTACGGAGGCCCCGTGTCTGTGTGCAGAGCTACCCAGAAAAGCCCCTTTTCCAGCTACCCCAACATTGCTTTGCCACCTAAAGACCTGCAGCAAAGGAAGACATAATTGGTTGGACAGAATCAGAAAGAAAGCAACGTTCCAGATGTAACTTTAGCTCTGCCATCCTACGTACTGAGTTTTTGGCGGCAGGGATGTCCTTTCCAAACCCTGTGTCTTCATTATTTTCCCAATGCTGTGATAAAATGCCCCAACAGAAGCAGTGTAAGGGGAAAGGGAGTTATTTCTGCTTACAGTTCTGTGAAAGCTATAGTCCATTATGGGTAGGGAAGGCATGGCAACAGGAGCAGAAAGCAGAGAACAGGAAGTGTCTAGGTTGTAAAGCCCCAAAGCCCGCCCCCAGTGACCCACTTCCTTCAGCAAGTTTACACCTCCCAAATGTTCAACTCTTCCAAACAGCACTGTAGCTGGGAACCAAATATTCAAACACATGAACCTAAGGAGGACATTTTTTATCCAGACAACAACGCCCTCATTTGGTGATGAAACAGGAGACAGCTGAGTAGTTCAAGATCCTCCAGCTGTGTGATACAGTTTCCATTCCCTGCTGTGATGGCTGGTCTTCACTGTCAACATGGCTAGATTCGGTGCTACCTAGGAGACTCCTGAGCACATCACTAGGTGCACCTGTAAGGGAATTTCCAGAGAGAATTCACTGGGGCAGGGGGATCTGCCCTGCATGTGGATAGCACCATCCCACCCCCACCCCCAGAACCCAGACTGGATAAAAGGGAAGCAAAGATAAAGCCCGCTGAGGATTTCCTGATGGTGGTGATGTGCAGCGCCCCCACAGCCAAGATCCTTTGCACAAGTCCTGTGGCCATGGGCACCTCCTGAAACTCGCAGCAGAAATAAGCTGCTTCCACAACTTCTCAGTTGTATTACTTGTGTGGGCACATAACAAGGCAGGAAAGTAATCGCCTACAGTACTGTGCTGTGAATGTTAGTTCATGCTTACATAAAATCAGCATTGTTCTCTGCCTTAGTTCTTTTTCTATTGATGTGAAGAGACGGCATGATCATAGCAACTCTTATAAGAGAAAGCATTTAACTGGGGCTGTCTTACAGTGTCATCATGGAGAGGAGCATGGTGGCACACAGACAGACATGGTACTAGAGAAATAACTGAGAGTTTTGCATCCAGATCCATAGGCAGCAGGGCCTAGCTTGGGCTTTTGAAATCCAAAGCCCACCCCCAGTGGCACACTTCCTCCAACAAGGCCACACCTTCTAATCTTTCTCAAATGGTGCCACTTTCTAATGACCAAGCATTCAAACATATGAGTTTGTGGGGGGCATTCTTATTCAAACCATCTTACCTTTCAAGCCTTAATCCTAGCCCAAAAGTGTTGTAGAATAATATTTTTGTGTACTGTGAAGATGTGTCTTTGCCAAGGTGCCTTCTGATTGGTTTAATAAAGAGCTGAATGGCCAACCAATATCTAGGTAGGAAGAGAGAGAAGAGAAGATGAATCTAGGCAAGGAAGAGGTGCCAGAGGACATGGAGAGGAAACAGGAGAGAGGTAAAAGTCATGAGGCAAAACATAGGTTAATATAAATGGGTTAATTTAAGTTATAAGGGATAATAGAACAAGCCTAAGCTACAGGCTTAGCTTTCATAATTAATAAGCCTCTGTGTTGGGTTTTTGTTGTTTTGTTTTGTTTTGTTTTGTTTTTGTGAGCTTGCAGTCCAAAGAAAAATTTGTCTGCAAAGGAGCATAACACTGACTTATGAAACTTTACAGTAATGTCATGGGACATGTTAGACATGGTGGCTGACACCTGTAATCCCAGCTATCATAAAGCAGAGACAGGATAATCAAAGCTAGACTCAGCTACTTAGAGAGTTTGAGGCCCACCTAGACTGTGTGAGACTGTGGTTCAAAAAGTAAACAAATGAGGGTTGGTGACATAACTCAGCAATAAGAGCACCTGCCACTCCTGCTGGCTAGTACTGTCATTTGAAAAAAAGGCAGCTGAACTCATCTATGGGGTATTATCCTAAGTATGTTCATCGACATAGGAAGACTTGCACATTCCCCTAGGCAGGGGAATATGGATTGTACAAGGCTGTAGGACTAACATTCATGGATGCATTAATTCCTTGCTCTCTGCTCTTATGTGGATCCTTTCTCCCTTCAATTATTTTGTTAGTGTATTTTACCACAGCAATAGGAAAAGAAATTAAGATGTCATAGAAGGCTAACAATTTGAGTTCAGGCCCCAGAAACCACTGTGGAAGGAGAGATTTGCTCTCTGACTCCCACATACACCTCCACACAGGCATATGTGAGCCTGCACACGCACACACACACACACACACACACACACACACACACACACACACAATAAATGCAATTAAATTTAACGGAAAATTAATAAATAGAAATTTTGCCAGGCAGTGGTGATGCACACCTTTAATCTCAGCACTCAAGAGGCAGAAGTAAGTGGATCTCTGTGAGTTCAAGGCCAACCTGGTCTGCAAAGCTACACAGAGAGACCCTGTCTGAAAAAAAATAATTAATTAAAAGTGTGTACAGGATTGAGAGCTTCCTCTTATCCTACAGGCAGAACCAGAGTGTGGTTAGAACAGCAAGGCATAGTAACTGCCTCCCCAGCTCATCCCTCCTCCTCCACCTTCCTTAGCCCTGCCCCTTCTCTGCCCTAGCCATCCCCTTCCACCCTCCCCAGCCGACCACTCTTCTTCCAAAAGAAAAGTAGCCTACTGGTCCTGCAGATGACAAAGCATGTTGGTGAAGAATAATAATGGGAAACAGAACTGTCTCATCCAAGCTACGTTCTGTTCCAATGACTCCATCTTTGCTCCTAGCATAGAAAACATTAAAGACAGAACAAAGCTACCTTTCTTTCTCCTATTACACAGTATATGCTCTTAATGGAAACACAAAATTTATTAGAAATTTTTTCTGCCGCAATGTCTCATCTAAACACAGAGGGGAGAAAGCTTTGCCTCAACCCATGGAACTGGAAAGAGGTCTAGAAAGAAGGCAATCAAACACCAGAGCCACTTCCCTCAGAGCTTTGTCCAAAACACCACACTACACCTAGGGCAGGGGAATATTTTATGTAGAACCAGATGCTAACGACAGTCGTAGCGACCATTGTGATGAAGGCAGCCAAAGACAATGTGTACATAAATGGGAGAGATCGCTCCAATGACACCTCACCCTCACAACAGGCTGTGGAGCACTTGGCCCACAGAGCACACTGTGCCCACTGAAGGGACACTAATGCACTGGAGCATGTAGCTCTGGCAGGCCTTACCCTTCTCCCAATTCCCCTTGCCTTGCTAAAAACAAATGGGATCCATTCCTGAAGCAGCCTATTCACCAATGTGGCCACTTCCTCCCCAGCTGAAGCTGACTACCAAAGTCTAGCTGTTGAAATACTGAAGTCCAGCAATCAAGAGCCCCCTTTGGCTCACCTAATTAACATGTCATCTCACCTTACTATGGGGTTCCCATAGTACCTTTCTAAACCACCATTTGCCTATGTCTCCTCTCTATCCAGAGGCAACCCTTTGTCCTCCAAAACAAATACCCCTGCCACCTTTCCCTCATTCCCCTTCGCCCTCTTCCTCTGCCTGCTGTCTTTGTCCCCGCTCTCCGTCCCTCTGGGGCAAATAAATCTCCTTTGTGCTGAGAACTTGATCTTAGGGGTCCTGTGCCTACTTTTCCTTTCACCCACCTCTCTGTCTTCACCCTCTGACACCCACATATCCAATTATCACAGACACTTTCACCTCAGCCTGGAATGTCTTTCACACAGCAACACTGGCACGCAAATCCAGAGGTGGTAATGACTCCAGGAAAAAACAACAACCAATTTTTCATGACCTGATGCAGAAAGGTAAGTCTCTCCTACCCATCCACTGTCAGGGCAATCTCCTCTCACCAGAAAGACAAAACCTTACTCCCTCCCCACAGCATCCCTCTGAATAACAGGTATCAAATGCAATCCCAGCTACACAATTAGCATGCAGCATCCCATCACCTTCCCTCGCATTTCTGCCCAAAAACAACCCAGGCAGCAGGCTCACAGTGACAAGGTGAGAATAACTTGTCATTCTGGTAATGGTCTAACCGCAGATAAGTGTCTGTCATAATGAAAATTGGTCTCTTCCGTTTCAATTTATTTTGTCAACAATCTGAATGAAGCCTGGATGTAACTTCCGACACCACTGCTTGCACACCAAACAGGAACAAAACTCTGAAATGAGCCTCATCATCGGATGACTAAATATTTCCATTAAAGAAGAGTTTCTTCTGGAAGCTGCCCCAGGTCCACTGTGCTCCTGCCAGAACACCTGCAGCTTCTTGTAACTAATTAAGGAACTCCAAAAAAGCACACTAAAAAGGGTCTCCGCAAACAGATGCACACTCCATTAATTAAAAGCCGGAGCAATCACCCAGGCTGTAATTGGAAAATGGGCTTCTCTCCATTTTAAGGCAATCACAGTTATTTGCAGATGCTTTCTGATGGTTTCTCAAAAGAGCAAGAAGACTAGCGGCAGACCGTGGCTGCCTCTGGCCGGCAGGGCAGATGTTTAGGAAAGGTTGGAGATTCGGGGCAAACTCATCCAGGCTCCTTAATTAGCGCCTCTGCCTCTTCCTCTCTCTCCAGAGCACTGCTAATGAGAAAAGGAAGTCTAAGTGCTGAAAAAGGGAAAGTGTCTGCTCTTTTGCTGCTGAAGATAAAGATAGACCCCTGTGGAACACTCCAGGTCTCTAATGGGGGAACACAATGGTCCAAGTATGCACAGAGCTAGGTAGCAACTGAGTATCCTCTGCCAACCCTTCCTTAGCTGAGTTAAAATCAGGGTCTGTGGAGCCAGTGTGGAGAACAGGAAGATGTGTGAGAAGGTGAGCTGGGGAGGGAGAAACAGATTGCCTGGTGTCTCTCCTATGCCCTCCTCTTGGGGTTTCAGGGCAAAGATTTAGGGCAACCCCAGGATTGGATAAGGCTCCCATATGGTGTGTGATCTGGAGTTTCAGCCAGGTTAGTTGGTGCCATGACCTCAAAGGCCTAGGATTTAGGTGATAAAACTGTTGTTTCTCACCAAAAACCTACCCTTCGGCACCCTTCTCTCTAATGTGAGCCTTTCCAAACTGCCTTTCATGGCCAGATGCTCTCCTGCTTCGGACATGGCATGGAAGGGGCCCAGAAACTGAAGGATGGAGAAGGACTCGAATCGGCATGTTGAGACCTTGTGGTTAGTGGGTCTTCAAGAGGCTATGATTTTACAAGGTCACGTGCAACATGCCTTCAGAAGGTTGTGGGGTTCCAGCCTCCTGAAACTGAGAAGCTTCTGTAAAAGAAAGAACATGGTCAACAAGACAAAACTGCTCCCTACAGAATGGGAAAAGATATTCACCAACCCCACATCTGACACAGGGCTGATCTCCAAAATATACAAAGAACTCAGAAACTAGAAATCAAACTAACAAACAATCCAATTTAAAAATGGGGACAGATCTAAATAGAAAATTCTCAACAGAACAATCTCAAATGGCAGAAAGACACTTAAGGAAATCCTCATCATCCTTAGTCATCAGGGAAATGCAAATCAAAATCACTCTGAGAGCCCATCTTACACAGATCAGAATGGCTAAGATCAAAAACACAAATGACAGCTAATGCTAGAGAGGATGTGGAGAAAGGGGAACACTCCTCCATTGCTGGTGGGATGCAAACTTGTACAGCTACTGTGGAAATCAGTATGGTGATTTCTCAGAAAATTATGGATCAAATTACCTTAAGACCCCACAATACCACTGTTGGGCATATACCCAAAGGAGGCACATTCACCCAACAAGGACATTTGCTCAACTATGTTCATAGCAGCATTATTTGTAATAGCCAGATCTTGGAAACAGCCTAGATGCCCCTCAACTGAAGAATGGATAAAGAAAATGTGGTATAATTACACAATGGAATACTACTCAACAGTAAGAAACAATGACATCCTAAAATTTACAGGCAAATGGACAGAACTAGAAAAAACTAGAAAGACAAATATAGTATGTACTCACTCATAAGTGGATAGCAGACATAAAGCAAAAGGTACCCAGCTTACAATCCATAACCCCAGAGAAGCTAGAACTCTCTTCCAGAAACAGATGGAAACAGATGCAGAAATCCACATCTAACCAATGGGCCAAGCTCCTGGAAGTGAGGGAGGAGCAAAAATATGAACAAATGAGTCAAGACCATGATGGGGAAATCCACAGAATCAGCTGAGCTAGTACGAAATCACTGACTCAGGTCTGACAAACGGAGAACCTGCATAAGACTGAACTAGACTCCCTTACTATAGGTGGCAATGGTGCGGCTGGGACAATATATGAGGCCACTGGCAGGTCCAAGATCTAATACTAATGCACAAACTGACTCAGTGGAGCCCATTCTATATGGAAAGATGCCTTGCTCAGCCCAGACACAGAGATGTGAGGCTGGAGAGGTGCCTTGGTCCTGCCTCAATGAGATGATAGGACAGACTTAGTAGACTTCCTAGGGGAGGTCTTACCCTCTCTTTGGAGCAGATGAGGGGAGGGAGTGAGAGGAAAGGAGAGAGGGGGAACTGGGATTGGAATGTAAAAAATAAATTAATTAAAAAGTGTAAAAAAAAATAATAGTGATGATGATAGCATGGACTAACCCTACAGAACTGTAAGCAAGCCCCCATTTAAATGCTCCCTTTTATAAGCTGCCTTGGTTAGGGTGTCTCTTCATGGCAATAGAACAGTGACTCAGACAGTCCTGATGCTGATGTTTTCTATATCAATTCTGAGATTTAAGTCCATTTTTCATGCCTAAGCCTTGGCAGTAGCCCAGGAGTGAAGCATGGGTTGTAAGAGGCCAGGTGATCTCTGTCCAGGGGGCTGGATGAGCCAACACTGGGAAAGAGGGTGGAGGTAAGGCCTGGGCAGCCAGGTCTTGCCCTTCTCATAGCCTCCTTAACTTCGCTCCATTTTTCCCTTCAACCAACCATGTTGTGTCTCTGCGCTTCATATGCTTCTGTTTCTTGTGCTATAACTGCTCTCAGATCCTCCATCTGAAAACATCTGTACCGGAAGCAGAGCCATCCCTGATTTTATCTTCCAGGTGCTAAGAAATTCCCATGCGGTCAATAATGATAGTAATGAATAATATATAAATAAACAAAATAGAATAAATTTGCCAATTTATACTTTTAATCTAGATAAAAAGCAAGAACCTTCATACAGTCAAGACTTTTCTGAACCCTGTGATCTACCAGCTCAAGCCTTTTGCTTTTTCTTGAGAGTTTTCAGGAGAGACCTTACTTCACCAAGGTGAACGGAACAAGCTCAGAGCTCATAGCAGGGGCTTGTATCCCAGGATTACAGGACTTAGTCAATTGGTTTGAAGCCCAACGGGGGAAGGACTTAGCCCAGCAGAGCTGGGTCTTCAAACTTGTGTTTTGAATTCCCCTATGAGCTCCACTCTATTGGTAAACAATCCCTGGAATTGACAGAAGAGTGCATCCTGAAACCATCATAAGATCTGAAGAGTTCTCTGTCTCAGTGAGTAGGACGCCTCCCTCATTCCAGAGGCCCTCCATGTCTTGCCCCTCCCCTTAGGATTATCATGGCAAAGTCATTTTCAGTTCTCTTATACTCCCAACTGTGATGAATCTTCAAGACCTGGAACAAATGCATTCTGGCTGGCCTGCCCTGTGCCCCAGCCAGCCAGACAGGTTAGAGGTCTGAGGGATCTCCATCCCTCCCATGCATCATTCCTACTGGCATGGACTTACCCCACCCAGGCAGGCCAAAGATCTTGAGACCTCCCATTAACCTGTCCACCTCTCTGTGATCTCACCCCAGCTAGGTAGGTCAGAAGTCTCCAGAGATCCCTACCCCTGCATTGTCCCACTGCCCTGCCTACCCTAGCTAGATGGATTAATGTCTTGGACCCTCCTTGCCCTGCTCTGCACACTTTCACTGCTCTGCATGCTTATCCCAGCAGAAGAAGGCTCCATCACCTCTGCTACTCTGTACTCCCATCCTCTACACCCACCCCAGCCAGTCAGACTAAAGTCTCCAGACCCTTGCACCCTCCCAACACCCCCTGAAAATTCTCCATGACTGAAGAGGGTGCCCATGTGCACCACACACTTCCATGCCCCAGGCTCATCCCAACCAGGCACTTTAGAGGCCTCTCTGCACACTTCCTCCACCCTGTCCTCAACTGGCCAGTGAAGCCAGAGGTGTGCAATCCCCTCCCAAACTCCAGAGCACACTCCAGCCTGAACTAAAGCCAGAGGATGTTCAACCTACCCACACCTGGCATACATGCATAGCAGTCCATGAGCTCCCTGTCTTCTGAAGTTATGGGTCATGCTCTAGCACACACTCATACAACACTGCTCAAAACAGGCTCAGGAGATGAGAGAACACATAAAACTGCTACCTCTGGCACCAACCCACAGCACACTGTACTGATTCTGGTTTATGGGGCCAGAGACCATGCCACACCTGTAACTGAGCCAAGATAACATCAATTACTCCATCCATGAACCAACACGGATGTCTCCATGGCTAGAATTTCAAGTAACACTGAGCTGAATCAATACCCACCAAGCCTGAGACAATACCAACACTGAAACAAATGCTCACTCAACACAGGCATGGCAGAAAGACTTAACTAAGAAGCTGGCTCCCAGGTAGGTGAGTCTCACCATAAGTAACATGAGATGCCAAGATATAGCTCCTTCAAATCTGCCACCCCACTAATAATAGTCACCAATGACAGTGACTGAGATGAAATGCCAGACAAAGAATTCAAAGGAATCATCATAAATGTATTCAAAGTACTCAAAGAGGACCCAGACTTGTGGATGAGTTCACAATCTCCAGAAGGAAGAGAACACAAACAGCTGGATGAAATAAGGACCTTAAATTAGAATATGAAAATAGAATTCAGACAAAAGAAAACATACTGAAGAAAAACAAGACTGATACAGCACTGGAAGTGGAATAGTCAGTAAGTCGAATAAAACCTCAACAGAAAGCCTCACCAATTGAATGCACCATGTTGAAGACAGAATATCAGGGCTTAAATATAAAGTAGAGGAATTGGATCATTCAGTCAAATTCAATGACAAATTTTTGAAAAGGTAATGTAAGGAGCATGAGAGATGTTTGAAAAACTATGAAAACACAAATTTGTTAAAAAAAAAAAAAAAAGGATTGGCATAGAAGGAGAATTCTATGCCAAATGAATATAAAATGTTTTCAATAAAACCATAGAAAAAGTCCTAAATCTAAAAGAAGAGGTGCCCATTGAGGTAGAAGAGGCTCACAGAACACCAAACATGCAAAATGAGAAAAGAAACTTCCCATGTGGTTCTACAGTGAAAACACTAAACATTCAGACAAAGAAAACATACTGAAAACAACAAGGGAGAGAGTCAAATCATATATAAAGATAAAACCCAACAGAACAGCTGGCTTTTCAATGGAAACTCTAAAACCCAGATAGGTATGAGAGGATGTATTTCAAATTCTGAAAGATTGCTATTTCCAACCCAGTCTGCTATATCCAGCAAAATTTTGTCTCATAATGGAGGAGGGGAAAGCAAGGCTTTTCATGATGAAAGCAGGCTAAAGCAATTGATGAACATGAAGCCAGCTCTAAAGAGAATACTGGAACGAACAGTTGGAATGGAAAAGAATGGTAAGTCCAAGAAGCTGCAGAGAAAAACATGCTAGTGTGTTTGTTAAGCAAATGAAGACTAAGAAAATGTCAAGCATCACAAAATCAAAATCACTGGAATCCATACACATCTTTAGATAATGATTCTAGATACCAATGGCTCCAACTCACCAGCCAAAAGACAAGAATATCAGTACAGATCATAAAGCAGGATTACTCTTTCATACCAATTCCAAGCAGTACACATTCCCACTAACATTAGACACCACTGCAGAGCAAAATGGTGGGGAAAGGTTTTCCAAACAAAAGGACCCAGAGACAAAGACAAGCTAGAATCATTGTATTGATACCCAACTGTGCTGGATGGTTTTTGTTACAACTTGACACAAACTAGAGTCACTTAAGAAGACAAAACCCCAATTGAAGAACTGCCTGTGTCAG